TTGCACATCCTGGCAGTCCATAGTGCTACTGCACACACTACACACACAATTAAATGATGATGACTCTGGCTTGCACAGTGGAACATCTAGAGGGATACAGAGAGATGTGCTGATTCACTCTGTGCCGGTTTAGAAGAGTTAATCTACCACAGAATAGAACAGGGATTAAAACGGGCTCATGCTCCCCCTGCACTGGGCTCGTGTCCCCTACCAATACACCAGGCGTCCCACCCTGTTGCCCCATTGTGCTACAGAGGGCCAGCAGCACCTTCAGTGATACAGATATAGAACTGATGTCAGTTGTTTTCACAGGACGGCGAACTAAATAGTGGGTGGATGGAAGTGGGAGAAACAGTCATTGAGCAGAAGTGATATTTGATTCATTGTTGATGAAATATGATGTAGCAAATGACAGCAGCAGCACGAGTACAAATGGAACAATGTTAGATACATTGATAAAAAAGAAGGAAGAACAAAGATAGAAAGAATGAAGGGAGACAGAATACAGAGAGAGAACCAGAATAATGTAGAGAGCGTGTCATCAGCCCAGTGCTGAATAAGCAGCAGCAGCAGGGAGATGGTTATCATCCAGAAACCAAGCAGAGTTCAGCCAGACATCCATTCACGAGCAGACTATATTGATTCAGCTCAGCTCACACAGGTGGAGAGGAGGCAGAAAGAGAGGGTAGCAATGATTTTTTAGGTTTCCTATAACTTTATAAAAGCAAATAAAGATGACAACAAAATGAGCTCTTTTATATCTTCCATGACTGAAAAATTTTAAAACTACTTTTCTGGCATGAGATCTGAATTTTCTGAGCACAGCTGCCTGTGGCTCATTACCTGTGGAAGTCTGCTTGATGACTGATACATGTAAGTGTACAAAAAAATCCCCACAAATATGTGGAGGTGGGGTTGAAGGATGTGAGCTTAACTAGATCTTTTCATAGTGAAACCCTAAAGAATTTTTCACTCTTTTGTCCAGTTCCAAACACTGGATTTTGCTATTGAGGGCATTTTATATCATCTAATCAAATAAATAAACTTCACTGACAATCTGATCTGAAAAGTGAAACACCGCTCTTCTCAACCTTCCCGCTGGATCTACTCACTCTCATCCAAATTGCTTTACTCACTTGTCTGGAGGTTGGTTTCCTTTCCTGTTGGATGTGTTCTGACTGGACATCTTGTTCGGATGCCCCCCAGTCTTGCCCTCTGATGGGCCATCCCTTAAGTCTCTTGCCTGTCTGAAGTCTCCATGTCCAGCCCCACGGCCAGGGCCTCCTCCTCTACCCCCACCTCGGCCACGGTGGTTCGGTTGCCTCAGAGAGTTTTGAGGTTTGGCTGTGGAGAGAGAGAAAGCAAACAAGAAAAAAATTAATAAAGTTATGGACTTGATGTGAATACAAGTGCAAGAACACAAACACACA